TTACAACTAAAAGTCTTTACAAGATGAGCTTTAATATGACAAACTTCTGAAAACTGCAATCGTAACTTTGTGCCATCATTTCTCTGAAAACAATTTATACTGTTTTCTATTACTTATGTTTTGTTACTCATAATTTATATTTTTTATGTTTGCAGATAGGAAAGATAAAGCCATAAAGAATGTAAGATCCTCTCAAGTATATCCTCTTGAAGATCACAAACTAAGTGTACTTTTAATGAATCTTAACATAATATATGTTGCTTTTAAAGGTCTGATATCAAATATTACATGTCACTATCTGTGACTGTGGGTGTCATGTTGGTGGGCCTTCTGTACTCCATCTGTTTAGCCTGTCAGTGGATTTATGGTTGGCCTGACAAGCCTGGGTATAAGAAGTACGTAGAAGCCCTTAATCCAAGGTAAATTTAAAATAATTTACACATGTTCCTTTTTTGTCTTTTGCTTTGTTTGATGTTTTTGTTTTATTGGCCCACTCATTGAGCAGTATGTTTGTAATTTTCATTTACGCTTTTGGCCTCTTCATCAGGCGAATATATCGTCTGACCCTCGCTACACTGGATCTTCTCAAATACCTGCAGTATTGGAAAGTTTATTTTCAGCTGAAGTCATGGTATAACGATGAGAGGAATCTAAAGTATTATGAAAAGGTGTGTTAAGGATAACTCGCTGAGAAAAATCTACCTGTTTTCTTGATTATTATTTACAATCAATGACGTTATCAGTTGAGTCAGTGCTGAAGAATGTGTGAATAATCAGTTTGTTTGTGTGGATGCTTAACAGGGCATCATGTTTGGCCGCAGAGGCAACAAGCTGGACTTATACCACCCTCCAAATGTAGGGAAGCTGCCATCACCGGCAGTAGTATTTGTCTACGGAGGTGCATGGGGCACAGGAGAAAGGTCCACTTACTGTTTACTGGGGAGTCGGATGGCTGAAGAACTGAAAGCAACTGTAATTTGTCCTGATTACTGCACATATCCAAAGGTGAGAGATTTTAAACAACACACAGTAATCACAAGGATGTTATGAGTCATAACATCCTTGAATCATAACTTATGAATGATAATACTTTATCGCATATGTGTGTTAGTTGATAAAATACATATTGAATTTAAATTAGGTAAACCAAAAATGTAAATTTTCATTTTAAATAATAAATTTGTTTCTAAACTGACTCTTGGTTGACTGTGATTGGCAGGGGAATGTTTTAGGGATGGTCCAAGATATCGCTGACTGCTTGATTTGGGCCCACCAGAATGAAGAGAAATTCAACTTTGACAAAGTAAGACAGCTTAGTATTATTTAAGTATTCTTTATAAAAATTAATAATGAACCAGTTACCTCTGTGCTAGGCACAGAGCTAGGCATGCAGGGACTCCTGATATTCTGATATTCTATTCAACTTCCTCACTGCCCAGGGAAAACTCCAAAACACTGCTGCTCGGCTGTGTCGGTCTACAATTAAAGCAGTGCTAAGTTTTGAGCCCCTGTATACAGACTAATCATGCTTGTACTTCGTCAGAGCCTTTTTAAAAATAAAATCATTGTGTATCTGTGCATTAACTTAATCTTCAGTAGGTAAAAATGTATAATCACGTACAGCATGCTGTTCTGTGTTGTATTTTTTTTTTATAGGACAACATTGTATTAATTGGGCATTCAGCAGGTGCACATTTGTGTACACTCACCACACTGTTTCTTGTTGAAGAAAGAGAGGAGCTTTCCATAGAGCCAGGCAAGCAGCAGGAAGTCTTGCTCTCGATAAGAGGAATTATTGGTAAGAAATGAAGTTCATCATTTAATATTAGTATTTGTTTTCCATAATGGTCTTCTCCTACAGTGATTAAATATATACACATTTTCAATATTGTAATGTTTGTTTCACCCTTTGTTTATTATCAGATTGTATTATACTCTACCTGAGCACTCAAAGGCTTTGTGTAACTTGCCTCATTCAAGCACTCCCACAAACATTATTTTTCTATGTCTAAGTGCTTTTTTATCTAATATTCACACTGTGATGAACGCATCAGAGATATTTGTGCAGACTGAGCCAACCAGGGATCAAACCACCAACTATCTGATTAGCAGATGACCTGTTCTGTCTCCTAAGCTACAGACACATTTACTCATATTACTATTTTATTATCAGTACTTCATATTTTCACATTTAAAAAATATGAAAATTAACAACTTAATCAAAAAATGACCTCTTTCTTTCCTGTTATTCTTAATAAGGTAGACTAATTGTTTTATATTCACCGGACAGGTCTGAGTGGCGTCTACAACATCGTGGACCATTATGAGCATGAACAGAAACGAGGAGTTGAACGAGTGTCCCCCATGCACAAAGCGATGAATGGTGTGAAAAACTTTCCATACTACTCACCAACACACTTACTGAAGAAGCTGAGCCAGGACAAAGTCAACAGGTGAGCGGAAAAGGATAAAGAAAATGGGTTTAACACCAATTCTAAAATCTAATACATCAATTCTTTATTGGAAACACAAACGCACTACAGACATTTATTTACTACAGTCCTTTTTATTCTGACAGATTGCCTCCATTCGCTTTGCTCCATGGGACCAATGACATTATGGTTCCTGCTGAATCTACCATAAGATTCTCTGAGCTTCTCACTTTGCGCTCTGTTAAGATGTCATTGAATGTGCCTCATGGAGTCGCCCACACTGAGACTGCTGTTGATCTCATGGTGTCAAACAGACGCCTCTACCGTCCAATCTACAGATACATCAAAGAAGAGTTTAGAAAATTTCTGGGTACCTGCTGACTGCACGTGATTAGAAAAGTATTCACACAGCTCCAATATGTGCTGAATTGTACTGTACTGTAAATTAAAATCAACCATTTAATTATGAGTTTGACTTGATTCTCTGAAGCTCTGATTTTATAAAACTAATATGATATTTTTAACAGTACTTTAATTATTTTGGAGAGATGTTCTTTATAGTGCTGTCAAATAAGTAACCACAAAGTGAAATCAATTATAGAACAGTAGGGTTTATTCGGAAGCTACACACAATATTAAAATCCAGTTACAAAATACCTATTATTGAATTAAATATTACATTCAAATGTTATCTTGTGTTAACATGTCATTACTTATTATTATTGCTTCACAGGCAACTAAAAACATCATAAATGTCTTAAGATCTTCAATGCAGACTAAAAAACCCAAATTTGATTGCCTTAAAATGTAAAAGTTCTAAATCTTATTTACAAAGATTGAATGCTAGATGTATATTATGTGTGTATTTACATGTAAGGACAGTAACAAGCACTTGTTACATTCATGCTTAACAGCCTTACAAACAGTTGAATTTCACTGAGTAAAAACCGGGAAAGAAAACACAGAGATGATGTGTGCTAAACTGCACATTTTACAACATTCAAAGTTTTTTTTTATATATGATTGGACTGCAGAAGGAATGGACTCATGCTTGGAATACCAAATAGCCATAATTTCCCTCAATAGATTATAATGTTTAAGTGTGTCTGCCTAGTGTTATGTTAAGCTGAGTCTTGGACTCCTTATGGGCTAGTCAAACAAAGAAATGATTTAGAGTAGCTGTTCCCAAATACTGTGCCATAAGGCAAGTCCAGATGTTCTCTGGGATTCTTCTGTCAACCAAATATTATTATACATAGGGAAAAAAGTAATAACTGGCATTTAAACATACTATATTAGTACACCAGATTCCCTGACATATAACCAGGAGGTAAAACTGATCACCTCTTCCTGTCTGTAAACACGCACACAAGTAAAACACCTGAAAATTGTCAACAGAAAACACTTGGCCATATTAAGCTAATTTTCTTTAGATATTAAAACAGTTGTGCCTTGAAACTTTTAGCCCTTTAAGGTGGCTTGGGCACAAATGTTTAAAACAAACAAACAAACTGATTCCGAGCGCTTTGCTAATGCTTTCCCCGTTTTGGCAATGGTCATTTAATTCTTTAGTTCTCTTATCAGCAGCATTTTCCCCATTAATTAGTTTAAATTATGCTTTGGTTAAAATAGATTCCCAGATATTGGGTTAAACGTGATTGCATTTTAATAACGGCGAATGACTCTAATTCAGCTTCACTGTGTGCTCACCAAATGTCTGTTTACATTTTCAATCTTTGTTTCCACTTGCCGCCGTTTGCTTGAATAACCCTGCAGCGTTTTCCCTCGCTCCTGGCTTTTATTTTGAAATTCCCCGTGCACGCACGCGCACGAGGCGGAGTTTGGCGAGGGTCGGTTGGAGCTTCAGTTCGGGATCTCCTGCTGACTGTCCGGGCAGTGCACACATTCTCTGACTGCTTGGACGACCAGCTTTTAGCCGCTTTAGGTCACGTTAGCGAAGCGCGAAGAAGTGAAAACCAGTCTGTAAATATGTGACTCCACTGCCGGCTAAACATTAGCGTTTCTACCGAGACGAGGAAGATGGACTCTGTTGGGAAAAACACCCAGAAGAAGAAGTTGTGGCTCTGTGGTCTGCTTTGGTGGTCGCTTCTTGTCCATTTGGCGTCAGGAGGTAACAACTGCAACTTATCTGACTTTATCAAATGAAAACGACAGACATACATTTATTTAATGATGCTTTCAGTGGCAGGGTGTTTTTAATCTTTCACTTGTTAAATTTGAAGAGTTGTTTCGCTGTTTTTAGTTTGTAGTCTCTGGCTGTGATTAACAGTTTATAAATACCTCGTACTTGTGCGTGCAGTTCACCATATTTGTTGGCTGTGATAAACTACAGCACTAATGCCTATTATCACTTAACAGCAGTTTGTTGACTGATACTTTTACTGTTACTCTGCATCACAGGTCCTAAAATGTTGACCTGAGTTTAACAGGATTAAACACGATGTGATAGGGGGTAGGCTGCAGGGTCTTTTGGCTGCAGTGTCACGATTCCTCCCAGCAACAATAGCAGTTCGTTTAGTCTTTAAACAGCACAACCCTGTGATTTCTTTTATATTAACTCAGCTGAAAACATCAGTATACCTCTCATTTAAGTAACCCCCACCCATTCTTATAATCTGTGCCTGTATGGACGTCCACAGTAGTCTGATATGATCAGAGACAGCAGCAGAAATAGGACTGTGATGCCCACTGCAGTGGAAGAACTATCAGACTGTGACAGTAGCACACTCAATTAAATTCAAAGAAATGGACAGTTGTTGCTGCCTTAGGAGACCTAAAGGGAGGGAGATGTGATTTTCAGTTTAGCTGTACATTATTTGCATTCATGTGAGCATTCCTTAGCCCATTTGAATAATTTGATCCTGGACATGTGTCATCTAAATTCAGAGTTCATCCAGGCTTTGGCCTCAGGAATTATTTCAGAGTGACTCTCACATACTATATCCTTCTTTGCATATGAGTACTGTATAGATATTTGCTTTACTTCAGTGGATTTCCGGATGTTTTCTATTTATTTATTTATTTTTTCATCTCTACTGTCTTTGCATTATGAAACAAGCAAGGGCAACAGAGAGTCCACAAAAAACCCAAACAGGCACTTCAGTCAAGTTGCATTTCTGATTTGTTGTATAAACTGAGCACACAGGCAGTGACAAGCACTGCTGTCGCCCCTAAAATTAACTGTTAGGTGTTCTCTGGCTTTGTTGTTGAAAAAGCAGTTTGTGAAATCTCTTAGAAAATGTCCTTAATGCACAGAAACTAACCCTGCTGAAATCTAGATTATAGAGCAACATTCAAAACCTCCTGTTTCAGGAGCACAGTCACATGGGTATTGTTTTCTGGTTAGTCTGCAGTGCTCTTTAATTAACATTCCCTCAAAAATTCCAACTTTTGGTCATGTCAAAATGCTTGTTTACTTTTTTTTTTTTGGTTTGGGAGGGGG